GGACATGGTCCTCCCAGGTCAATTTTGAGTTGAAAGTAACACCAAGGTATTTAATGGTGGTCACCGGACTAATAAGAGAGCCAGACAAGAAATAGGAAGACAATTGTTTATTACGCGAGCGTGTGATATGTTAGTCTAGTTTTTATCACGCTCATATTTTTGTAGTTTATATAAAGAAGCACAGTACTGTAATTATAATTGTATTATAATTATAATAATAAAAATAATTATATAAAAAAATAATATCCAAAAGCAATAAATCTATCATAAATTAAATAATAGTAAGTAAATCTAATAATTGAATAAACCACTAACCAATCAAACTATACATTTGTTACTTTTTTGTAATTATTTTTAACTCCAAGACAGAAATAGATCATAAAAATGTATCATGCACAAGAATCATTAGAGATGATAATTGCCAGTAATAATTTTCAAGACTACTCTATATTAAAAGAAAAAAAATTATCTTGTGTATGTAATCATTTATTTATTTAAAATTTCTTTATTCACAATAGAAGATTTCAGAGACTGGCACTGCTTCCCAAGGAATGAATGTAGAAAAATGATAACTTGAACAACAATTACGTGTTTTATGAATTAGAATACAGTATGTATTGCGATGTGGTCTACACTAATTCATAAACGTAATGGTCGTTGATCTCAGCTTTTGCTAGACTAGCTAGTGAGTGAGAGGTATGGAATTGGTCAGCTATATATGCATATAGGGTAGCTAGGCCTAGTTGTTAGGCCTCTCTATGCCTGTCACGAATGTAGAGCATTCTTTCTCATCAGAAACATATTTTTATGCTATCAGATGATCCGGCCATCTTTCTTAATTCAGGAAAAAAATCCAATGCATAAACAATAACAATAAACTAAAAGTATATGAAAATATAGGCCTAGGCACACTGCCCTTGTGCCGTGCCGCTGATACACGTACCAGGAAGTCAACGCATAAACGTAAACAAGATGACATAATTTGACCTTGATCACTGACTTTCTACCAATCAGAGACATGAATTTCATATGCTAATTAGTCAAAACGTTTAACACACTGTGTAAGAAAAGACAAAATATAGTTCGCTGTTTTCTGTCTTAAAAAACTCATTTCCCGATGTCAGATTTTGGCTGATTTTTATTATGTTGTTTTATAGATATTTAACTACCACAAAAACCTTTTGTTGCAATTTTGTCCACTCAAAATCAGAGACTGGCCTGACTATATATATTTGACAAGTTGCTATACATGGTATGTAGTTGTGATTTATATATGGTATACAGTTGTAATCTATGGTATGCAGTTGGTATGCAGTTGTGAACAAGATGGGCAGCTGTGATCTGTACATTATAAGCAGCTGTGAGCTATACATGGTATGCAGTTGTGATGTATACATAAGTAGCTGTAATCTATATGGTATGCAGTTGTGATCTTTACATGATAATCAGCTGTCTATAATGGTATGCAGTTGTGATCTATACATGATAAGCAGCTGTAATCTATATATGGTATGCAGTAGGTATGCAGTTGTGATCTATACATGATAAGCAGCTGTCTATAATGCTATACAGTTGTGATCTATACATAAGCAGCTGTAATCTATATATGGTAGGCAGTAGGTATGCAGTTGTGATCTAGACTATACATGATAAACAGCTGTAATCCATGGCTGAGGCTATTGGCACTGCCGCAGTGCCAAAAAAAGCTGCTGTTTTCTATCGGCACTGCCGCAGTGCCAAAAAGCTGCTGTTTTCTATCGGCACTGCCACAGTGCGAAAAAAGCTGTTATTTTCTATCGGCATTATTGCCGCAGTGCGAAAAAAGCTCCGATTTTCTATCAGCACTGCCGCAGTGCCAAAACACTGCAGATTTCTATCGACACTGCCACTCGAAAAGCTGCTATTGACTTATCAGATGGATGTTTTTATCTATAGATTATGGTATCAATAATTGGTTAGGTCTAGCCTAGCCTATAATATTGTTAACATTATAATATATATGTTTTACAATTAAATTATAATTATTTTTAATTATTATATATATACATAGCCTACCGTATATCTAGGCTCATACATAAAACAAAAAATAAAACAAAACAAAAAACAAAAATTTAAAAATAAAATAGTAGTAGTAATAATAATAATAATAATAATAATAATAATA